GGGGTGTGGTGCAGGGCGGGGGATGCCTGGTCGGCGGGAACCCGGCACGGAACCCTCCGGCGTTGTAGGCGGGTGTGGGAAGCGTTCCCCGTTCTCTTTTTATTTTATTTTGATCGGTCTCCTCGACGCTCTTTCTCGTTTGGTGCGGTAGCTGGTCTTTCTATCATTTTGTTTCTCTTCCGAGTGTGGTTTTTGTACCCTATTTTTTTCTGTTTCTTCGTGGGGTCGTGTATGCCGGGTTTTGAGACCACGGACTCCCAATCTTTCTTTTTTAGAGCTAATGTGAGAAACAACAACAACAACAAACAACAACCTGAACGTGCCAGCACGCACGACGCCTCTTGATGATATCCTCTACTGATACTAGCACAACGGACCAGGTTCCTCCGGCGGGAAGGTTGTTTTCTTTCTTTGTACTGTTATAAAGTATGAGAAGAGCCAGCGTCAAAATCCCTTGTCTGGGTACCCTTAACGACCTGCCATTACACAACACAAGGTCAATATGTTCTCCCGCGCCGCACACACATGCCCCCATACGTCACACACAAAAAATAAGTTGATGACGAAAATATGCACACCCCGACCGAGACGCGCTTGCTCCGCAAACACATAAGGGTGCCATAATAGAACACACCCGACAAACCGAGTTCCCCTAAATCTTCCGTCTACATCTAACTTCCCAACATACCATAGTCTACACATTTGATATATCTACGGATTGGTGTGGAGGACACATGTCGGAATATATAACCAACCATTTGTGCACATACAAAGTATGTTGTTGTTGTTGTTGTCTTCACATTAAAAACCATCCCGGTCTCTCTATCCAGTACCTCCTTCTGTCTCAATCTCTCCGTACTAATCCATCACTTGACTCGGCCAATTTCCGTGGTCACAGGCTAACGTACCTAGAAAAGGTATACCAAAATAAAATGGACCCCAAGGGTCAGCAGAGCGATAAAATACAAGAAAACAAAATATAATCAGAANTTGTTGTCGTGCCAGTAAAAAACAAAAGACAAAATAAAACAGAATAAAGCAAAGATAGTATGTTGTTGTTGTTTGTCTTCACATTAAACCGTATGTCAGTTGCTAA